ACTTCGTAAAATATCCGTGCTTCAAGGGGGGTTCGCCCCCTGCACCCCGACCGAAGGCATGGCCTGGCTGGCCCAAGCCTAGATGCTCGCTTCGCTCGCATACTGCACCTTAAGAAATGCACCCCCACCCCACTTTCAAAAACGTTCCGCCGCCGTTGGTATCATTAAGGATTTGTATGGTAGAGGGTAGTTTTAGTAGGCCTATGTTTAATGATGAACTAGGCTAGGCCTACTGAATATTTTCGAATTATTCATATTTCATTGCATACGTAAATCATCTTCATTTAGCAGGGTAGGTATGAACTTCACATTAATAATAGACTAAATAAACAATACATAATCATTGTCTCTGCTACTATACGATTTTAAATTGATCTGATGACGTCTTGTTTGCACATTTTAGGAATGACATTAGTGAAGTAATTGATGCAGTTGTAACAGAACTGAACTACAATCAAGATGACGGACCCAGCCATCAATCTTTATTTGAAATGTCGCAACAACCGTCAGAATATTGTTTTCCGGATAATGTAATATACGATGACGCAATGTTCTCATCGGATCTTGAAGATAATTCATCGTTGTCACACGAGTTAACACCTGTTATGTACTCGGACACAGATCTACCGGACAAAGATCGTCACCATGTGTTGTGCGTATTGGAGACTGAAGACGAACTTTTAACACCAACGCCCCATGGTGAACCAGTACCCGACACTCCAGAGGACGTAAAACTTGCGACCAGCAGTGGTAGTAAGGAGTCGAATACGTGCATGCAGTATTTTAAATCGAGAGATAGCATTAAAGATGAGGAAATGTATCAAACCGATGATCATCGTGATGGTGATACACGTCATTACCGTGCATATTATGGTGTTGATGATGACAAGCTTCCTATTGATCAAGATGACAGCTCTCCCACGAGTTGTGACGGAGGGCCTGGAACAACGCCCTCGCCGCAGAACCAGCCGTTACACTTCACGCAATACTTATTGTCAGGCGTACATGAATACATAATGCCAATTGCAGCGCATTGTCAGCCCTGTACTTCTTCAACGGATAAATTTACTAATGATGACATTAGAGTGGCCAAAAACCACATTAATGAAGAATTGCGTTCGACCATCAGTAAACAGAAGGAACAGACGTTTCAATGTAAAACAGAGGAATATAAAGATCATACTACTTCGGCAGTAATCAAGCAGGAAGAACCTGACGTCAACATAAATGCGGTGACACCACCTCCAGCATCTGCACTACCAGCCGTTCCTGCCCGTTGGCTTGAAGACATCGCCATGTCTTTGACAGGAATGCTTGATTCATGCAATCGAATGATTCCCGTATGCGCAAGCGATGAACCGGTAAAAAGTTTTAATGATGATAAAATACTTGGCGATACGACACCGACTCCGCCATTACCGGCAGAAATTCTTTCTGTTGACGAATCCTGGTATTTTGGTGGTAGACCTTCCAAAGACGATACAATGAACGATAAAGTTTGCTCACAAAACCCTACAGACTCGGATTCGGTCGAATCAACCTCGGCTTTTATACCCGTCTGTCCAGCAGTTTGTGATCCAAACAATTTGTTTCAAGTTCAATGTCTTTCAGAGGAAGAAATACGTTTTACTGATATGCCTGCAGGTGCAAATGATCAAGTTTGCTTCGACAATGAATCAAATAAGCCTATTTCCCTACAAAAGCGAGAGGATAATACAAAGTTAAATCATTATTTTGATACATGCGCAACCCAAGATATTGATAAAACTTCAGAAACTGTTTGTGAATATTTAACATGTTTATCACTTGAGAAAGAATCTAGAAATGTAAAGGTTAATCCGATTATTCAGACCAACAAGCTAATCAAAAGTTTTGATATTGAAACAGTTGTACCAAAAGTATCTGATAAATCAAAATTATCCGACGATGAAACTGAACAACAATCGATCGGTAACGCGTTATGGATTCGTCAAACATTTGTGAATCCAATGATCGAACAAATAAATGAAAATAATACAGCTTATTCCGATCTGCAATGGGATGAAATAATTTCTTGTCAGCCACAAAGCACAACAGAGGAAATTGATTCTGACACGGAAACGACCGATGTTTACAAATCTATCAAAGTGTTGTCGTCAGAAAAGCATCAATGTGCTGGTCAGAAAAAGGACAAAGGTCTAAATATTGATATAGTTGATGTTACAGCAGAGGAGTCTGGAGTTAAGACTACAATTGAGAAGGAAATGAATCCACAAAATTTTGGACACCCTGGTACCCCAGAAAATAGTCGATTATATGGAAATGACTCTGAAATTGATCATCAGAATCTAAGTAAGTTATATGATAATCTGCCCGAGAGTGACCAGTTATTACTGCGCAGAGAATTGAGTGATACTGGTGATTTCTTTGTTTTAGAGTCAGACAGTAGTTGTTTGAAGAATAAGAAAGTTAAACTGATTACTTCAATCCATTCTTCTGATGAATGTCTGCAGAAAAATACAATTGATGTCACCAATCATCGCAACTTCAATATATATCATTCCGAGGATTCAGGTGGTAATAGTGTGGAAGATCCTGATCGAATTCTTGTCTGCGACCCTCATCCAGAACAAAAGTATGCCACAGTGCATCCTAAATGTGAGGAAACGAAGTCATACGATTTCACTAAATCTAAAGGAAGTATTTCAGAAGCCAAAGCCACAATTCCATCAAATTCCACTTATGTTCAAATCGATGTGTCTGAATCGACTCAGACGGAAGCCCTGTCTCTTGAGGGGCATCACCAACAGGGTGCCAGAAGTGATACGGTATTGGAAATCCACTGCATGCCGGACCCAATGAATAGAAGTGTATATAACGTTTCGTACTTACCGCGATCATTTTCATCATCAGAGCCAAATTCAAATTACAGTATAAAGTCATTAACCGATGAATCCATCGAGGATGTTTTGATTATAGAAAAAAGACATGAAAATCACAAGCCAAACACGTCAACCTTTGTAGGAACCGCACCCCCGTCTCTTAATAATGATAGCGAAAACGCGTCACCTTCATTGAGCAATGATAGAAGTAACGCTTCACGTAATATAAGTAATGACAAAATCTACAATGAGGTAGTGACAGGCGAGGGCATGCATGTGTCACAAAACTGCTTAACAAGTGAGCAACAGATAAATCTGCTTCATGATGCCCTTCAAGATATACCGATACCTCTTACCAGAGAAAATAATGAATATGCACCCATGGAAGAAGAGATGAACTTTGGACAAGAGGAGTTGATAAGAGCTTTGCCTAGAAATAATTCTCACAAGATTGTCACAATCTATGACCAAAATAATGACAATGAAGATGATGGGTTGCTACCAATCGCAACTGGATTTGACCCTGATTGGATGGAGCGTAAGCCGACAAAATTTCCAAATGCTCTGCAGGACGATAAACATGAACAAACGATTGGAGCTGCTGAAAACCCAGTTGGTGAACTTCTACAGCGATCTTTGTCCCTCATAGAAACAGCCGAGTCTGATCGCAGCGCCGCGTTGCAGGATCTCAGGGAAGCAACTGACGTTAGAAGGCAGATAATAATAGCTGCCAGTAATCTGGACATGCTTCACGAAGATTTAGAGAGTTCAAGATCAGCTGCGGATTGGCATCGATGTCAGTTACGCAGGGTTGAGATGGAATGCGACGTCCTGAAGTTAGAAGCGGAGAATATTTTAGGGTCTTTGTCAGAGATCAACAAACCACAGAATTCATAATTGCTGGCCTACTTTTAAAACAACGATGAACGTTCAATGGTCTACAGTGTGTCACAAGTTTACTGCGTTATTTATTGTATTTCGCCTTTCACTAAAAATGATACATTCGTATTATACTGATTTTAAAATAAATTTTAGGACTAAATGTATTTAATTATTCATTCAAACATTAAATGAATGTTATAATTTATAATGAAGCATTACTAATGTAGCCTATTTATTGAATTGAAGTCTCAATATATACACAGCTTGCAGAAATAACAAATGTATGCAACAACCTAACTAGATTTACATAACGAAATGAGATAGGCCTATGAAAAGGAATAATGTTCACTAAAATAAAGTAAAAAGGCCATTTTATTCTAAGTTTCGCTTTTATTAAAGCATCATAAAATATAAAATAAAAAGAGAGAAAAAGATATACACAAGTTACCAGAAAGCCTAATTATGTACATTTTAATTACATAAGCCACGCTAAATGAGGCATGGAGGTAAGGTAGACCTAATTAACCAATCAGAAAGAAAGAAAGAGTGTAGGCCTACTATAACGAGAAAATAATGGAAAAGTAACATGAATAAACAAACCGTCGGGCAGTCGGACCGAAAAAAAAAAATAGGCCTAGTTTTTCCATCCCAGCTATTTCCGGCCATCTAGACGGTCACAATTTGTTTTTTTTTTAAATCTCGTTTTGGGAGGAGACACGGACATCTTAGCTCCCCCCCCCCCCCATAAGTTATATCCTAGAGCCGCCACTGACATAGTATGCCTTTTTCTATTATTATTATTATTATTATTATTATTATTATTATTATTATTATTATTTTATTCCTGATGAAATGCTTTTGTAAAAGGTGCAGTATGGTGTAGGCTCTTCTAAACCAACTGCAAGTTTACCTTCTTTTAAAAGGCAATAAATGTATCTTGTATCTTATAAATTCCTTACTCTCTAAATAGAAATTCCCATCTCTGAAGAAAATAACCAACAATTACTGTGGGAAAATAACCCCCATCCGTGTTATAAATATCAATCACCCGTGCTGGGAAATTACAATCACCCTATGGAAAATACCTAACCTTGGCTTGCAGTATGAAATAATCTCTAACCCTGAAATACGACTATAGTTTTTTCTGACATGTATCAGAGCAAGGAGGTAATACCCTTTGATAATAAGTTTTATCAAAATGTTGCGGCTGTGCTCTGAAAGAGTCTTTACCCGATAGACAATCTTTGCTGTACAGCGCCCTCTAAAAGTTATTCTTTGAAAAACATGGCGACTTACATGGCAAGAGCAGATCGTTCAGAACGCTATGAAAAAATTAAATTTCTTGGAGAAGGGCAGGTAAACTTAAGACATGGGTAGGAAAGTGAAAGTATCATAATGTATATAAGCTTATAATTTACATGTTTTGCAGTGCTAGTTAGGCTAGATCCAGCCTAGCCTGAGCTCTATGTTTATTTGGCCACCAAAACAACTAGGCCTAGGCCTAGCCTAGGCTAGGCCTACGCTACTACTAGCTACAGTAGTAGGCCTAGGCTCAGCCTAGCTACTAGTACTAGGCTCTAGGCTGGGCCCTAGGCGTAGACCTTTTTCACTCAGCAAATACTGGGCGCTAATGCACTTTAGTACTGTAACACTTCTATCTTCAAAAATTGTCTTTTTACCTACTGTGCGCTCCTAACAATATCTTACGATTCTTTTTCATCCAGTTCTCTCAATAATTACACCAGTTTTTCGCATTTTAATTACTAAAAACAACGTTCTTTCCCAGCAATTCATGACGGTAGCGACTCGCGATGTTTGTTTATAAATAATTAATTGCCAGGTTGTTATCCAATTTTAAGGACAGCTCTGTTCGTTGCCAGGTTTGATTTTTTTTCATTTTGTTAAAGAGATTTTTCATAAATTGTTATTTGTATTTTTATCTGTATTGTTTATATCGTTGTTCTGGTACAGCGCAATATTAATAATGACATGTATACATTTAGGGACAACAGCTATTATTTCGTCGGGGAAATCTGACCCCTCGTCGGGGCATCGCCCCCACCCGAGGCCCTGGGCGGCCCCAGACCCTCAACTAATGGGCCCTGGCAGCGAAGATGTCGCGGGGCTCGTGGCCACTCTTGGCGGCCCTGTTGACGGTAATTAGTATGACCGCATTTGAGCAAACAATAATTATCACTCATAGCACCTTTATTACATTTAGACCCAAAATGATTTCACATAGGACCTTTATTACATTTAGATCCAAAACTTATTACAATTAGAACCTTTATTACATTTAGACCCTAAAATTATTACACATAGGAATTGTATTACATTTAGACCCAAAAATTATTACAATCAATCAATCATTTGTCAATCATGGCCATTATTACACTGCATTTAGGACATTGCATTTAGGACCTTTATTACATTTAGTCCCAAAAATTCTTAGAACCTTTATTATATTTAGACACAAAAATTATTACACATAGGACATTTATTACATTTAGACCCAATAATTATTACACTTTGACCCTTTATTACATTTAGACCCAAAACTTATTACACATAGGACCTTTATTGCATTTAGGCACAAAAATCATTACACTTAGAACTTTTATTACATTTAGACCATAAAATGCATAATACTTGTATTATATTTAGACCCAAAAATTATTTCAATCAATCATTTGTCAATCATGGCCATTATTATACTTAGGTCATTGCACTTAGGACCTACATATATTTATTTATACATTCTTTTATAAAGTATGCATGTTCTGCTGCCTTCCTTTTCCCTTCTTTCACGAGCCATCGAAATTGTCATACTGTTTTAGTGGAGTCTTGCGCTCAACAATAAGTTCTGAATATCTGAAGCTTCATTTTGATTTACTAATTTTGGCAACAGCATTAGGCTCGATCGCCAATTCGCCATTGGAGATGACGGATGGAGCCATAGGCAGTGGTTTTTAGTAATAAAATGCTAAAAACCGATGTTCTTAAGCAGAATCTGAATGAAGAAACACCGTAAGATATTGTTAGGAGCACACAGTAGGTAAAAAGACAATTTTTGAAGATAGAAGTGTTACAGTACTAAAGTGCATTAGCACCAAATACTGTATCTTACCACCACAACACTAAAGAATGCATGTAGGAAAGAACAAAATATTAATATGTTATAACCAGTGCATTAATGCAGCAATTACGATTCCACGCAACTATTTTCATAGCGCTTTTCCTTGCAAATTTGAGTTGGTTTTTTAGGTATCTTTCACACAATTAAAAAACTTTACAGTATGGGGGCTAACCATATGGAAAAAGCATGATATCCTTTCTCCAGATGTTCAAACCCCTTGAATGCAAAACTTGGGAGACTTGAGGTGTGCTGGAAAAGTGGGCCCCACCGAAATGTGGAAAGTCTAATGTTTTTTTCATGCATGCACTCTTTCTGATTGATAGCATTTTAAAAACATGGAAATAATTAATTATTGGTTCTAAAAAAGCCACTAATAAATAGCTGTTTTTTATATTTTGGTGTTCTTCTGTTTTTGAAATTCAAAGAAAATTTTACAAAATTTGGGAGACCAGGAGATTGCATAAAAATTCTGGCGATTTCCAATTGTATCGGGAGACTAAAGTTAGAATGTTCTTCGTGTATCATCAATAACATTGGTCATACATACTGTGTCCCTTCACTTTTTCTGTCTAGGCTGGTGTGCCCTCCCTCCCATAAATATCATCCCCTACTGTAACTGTCACCATAAACGATAAAAAAAATCCTTTTTGAATGGCAAAGTGTTCGATTACCTGAAGAATCAGCAATGAAAATCATGTTTTTCTGAGTGGTTAACATTTACAGTAATAGTTGTATGGGAATGAGCCTCTATAAAACTGGTAATCACTCAAGATTCTGTCAATTTTCATTTCATCAGTTTGCTACAGTATACAAAGCCAAAGATGTGGAAACTGATAATATAGTTGCTGTTAAAAAGGTTTGTTATTTTTCATTTTTTGGATTATGAATATCAATAAAATCATTAGGTATAATTATTATGTTATTAATATTTTATTATGAATTATAAGTTATCAGTATAATGTTAATGCTTATTAATTTACTCCTTTTTTTCATTTTATGTTAATTTTTTAATAATTTAATTCAGATTCATAAATGTCAACAATATGAAATCCAAAGGTTTAGGGTACCTGAATTTGGTTTCAAAGTCTTGGGTTTGAATCCTGAAAGATAATAATATATTCTCTCAAAATATTTGTAATTTGATACATTTTAGTTAAACACATCCAGCTACTTTATTTTCTCTCACATATTTTAGCCTGCATATGTAATGTGCTTTAAAACCAATGTTTAATACTAGCCTGGTCTCTATTTCCCATACTTCTTGACCATCTGTAACCCTTATTTTTTAGACACCTAATTTCCATAACTTTAATTTCCTTACCTCTAGCTTTCATATGCCTATTTGACATGCCCTTTATTGTTCTGGTCTCCCAGAGATGGCTATATGTAGCCCCAAAGCATGTATGATTTTGGATTGTGCATTAAAATTCAATATTATTAATAACGGTTTGCAGTAAAATATTGACTTTGAAGTATTTTTCCAGATTAAACTGGGTCATAGAACAGAGGCAAAGGATGGAGTGAACAGGACAGCATTAAGAGAAATTAAACTTTTACAAGAACTCCATCATGAAAATATCATTGGTGTAAGTAAGTTTACTGTATTCAATCATAAATCATGCATACATTTGCATGAAGTAATGATTTATTATATATTTTACATTGCACCTGGTAGCCAAAGCATGCAATATTCTTTGCAAATGCATAATAAAATATGAAACAAACTTTGATTTAGCCTACTTAAGGCCCCAAAATTTGGTTTTCAGACATTTATAAAATCTTTTTTGTTCTGATAGTTAAGTGCAACCACCTTTCACACTACTTAATGGAAACAGTTCAACAATGTATTTTATGACAGTACATTTTAAATACAATAATTCTCAAGTATGTTGTAAAACTTTATATCTTATGTAACAAACATTCTATTCAGTTTATAACATGCAGGTTTTGGCTAATGCAGTCACCTCATATCTGACTGTGTAAATTCTGCTTACTCATGTTGAACAGCCATTTTCAAAATGTACTATGATCCACTAAAATATTGGATGATAATATATTTTTGAGAAAAAAGTATGTCTCCATTGTGATTGGATGGAGACCTTCTGATTACCAATCAGCTTATTAAATTTTGGAAAATCATATGAATTGGGAATTGTCATTCTAGTCTTATAATAAATCTGTGGGTTGAATTAAGGTGAATAATATTTTAGTTTTAATCCTGTTTGTCTCGCCATTGGAATGACATTTTGAAATTGGTCGTCGAGCCAGCAACATTTTTCCGGGCCTAAGGCAACTGGCATGTGATAGTCGTTTGTCTCCCTGTCATTCCCAGATCATAACATGTTGATGTCATAAACTTTTGGTGCTCATATGCCACCTTGGGATTAAGTTTCACAGAACCATTCCAGGTGGGGGTTGGTGTCGGGGTCATTTACAATTTACTAGTCATTGTATTCTAATTTTGTATTTATGTGATATGTTTATATATCTTTGCGCTTGATTCAGTTGCAACAATTAATAATATTATGGTATTAATATTTTGTTATATTGATATATTTTATGATTATTTCATGTTTTTCTATTTTCTAATAGCTACTGGATGTATTTGGACACAAGTCAAACATTAGCTTAGTATTTGACTTCATGGATATGGATTTAGAGGTAAGAATGCAATGGACACAATTTAGCAGCTCCAAACATGTAGTTGTGATATTCAGTGGCATGAGTGTAGGCTTGGTGTGTGGTGGAGGGTTCAGAAACAATCCCTCACCCCCATAGCAGCAGATTAGTTCCTCAGAGTGTGTTGAAATATTAAAAAATGACCATTAATTTTTCTTCGGAATTGTAATTTCGTTCCACATTCTTAATTTTCGCTTCCCCCAATTTTTGAGTTTTATTGGTTTCTGTTTTAACTCAAATCAGACAGTACATTATATATGTAATTCCTCATAAAGAATATTTGTGGTGAAGTATAATAAGTGATAATGAATATTTATATAAAACCAGAGGATTCACTAATTAGTTTTAAGGACAAAAAAGACAGTAACTCCAAAAAGAGACAGACATTTTGAAATTCAACTTTTGGATCTATTTGATCATTATTAGGAATACTGAGAAGAAAATCTCACCCATCCATATTTACAATATTTACAGAAGTATAACACAAAGCATATACAAAAATTATTAAAAAACAAAATTAAAACTGGTGAATTTTAAAGATGTAATTAAAAATGAGGTGTGTTTTACATTAAGTAGATCACTTATTTTCATGAATAACAATGAATAACAACAATCTTATAGAATATTTATCTCTTTTGCAATATTGATTTCTACAGCATTGCAACTGGTTGTTGAACATGCCATATGCTACATTTTAAAGATCCGCCGCAGCATTACAGTAGAAATAATACTTGCAGCATTGTGAAAGCAGCATTGGTAGTTGGAACATATCATGCCAAATGAAAGAAGCACCCAAAACTGCCACGTGATGTCAGAGAGGGTACATGCCACATGCCACAATTAAAAAAAAAAACTGCTCCAGCGTAATAGTGGAACCTGTCTCTTATACACATCTAGATGTGTATAAGAGACAGGCCTAGGCCTGGCCAGCCAATAGCAGTCATTAAGGAGGAAGAAACCAGAAGAGCATCACTTAAAAGAAAAATCATAGATGAAGCAGGTAATGCATTTACATTTTTAAAAGAAGGACCCTTAAAATAATGTAGAGTTGCCCATGAAGTGGCATTTGGACACTAGGGTCAGTGGGTCAGACATTATTAAATGTATACTATATGACTAGGCCTGATTCTGTTTTGTTCATTGCCAACCATCACTTACCCCATGCATTTTGGTTAAACTCCTCGCATAACAGTGATTTTTATTTATTAATACAGGATTAATCAGTAAAAGGACAGTCATAAAATGGTAAAAGAATCATTTAAATCTGATGTTTCATTATGAAGTTACAAGAGTTTGAAAACACTATTTGAGAAATTATTCTTCAAAGTTTATGTTTTCTGATATTTGTCAAATCAAACCATCATCAAATCATTAAAGATGGGGAAAATAACATCATAGCTTGATGTATAGATATATAAAGCTTAGTGCCTGTCTCTTATACACATCTTTTGATGAGATATCTCAGAAAAATACTGCAAATTATCAAGAAAATGATCGAACAATCCACAGACTGACAGTGAAAGTTTAATAGTCTGGTTTTAATAGTTTATTTAGAAACTTGTGTTATGACTGATTTATTTCCTAACATGATTCAGAAATAAAATTTGAAGTACTTAATAATCTTTAAAATTGAATTCATATTTGAGGTATGTCTGATACATTGGGTGGAGACAGACATATAGTGTGCTATTTCCAAGTATCTAACCTTAATACCTATTCTCTTTGTGACTAAGAATATTTTTTTTTGATGGCTTTGTTCCATGACTTCAACCTTGCTTTATCCCTCTCCTTTTCAATTGTCTTCTGCCTAGTAGTTTTTAAGACGGCCTACTATTCATTTCTCCTTAATTTTGATGCTATAGATACAGTAATTACAATTTCTGTTTTTGTTCAGTTATAGGATTATTTCGAATCCACTTCATGTTCATACTATAATTTCATTGTTATACGTATCCACTTAAATTCAATTTCTTTTTTCTCATAAAATTTATATAGTGTAGAATTTGTACTCCACGTTCAATTTAGGTTTAATTCACTAACTGAGGTGCCAACTCTTATGAGTATGATAAAATCGAAAATTTTATTTTGTCCTAATTTACATATTTCCTATTATTCATTTTTCAGGACATGAAACCAAATAATTTACTAGTAAATGATGCTGGGGTGCTCAAGTTAGCAGATTTTGGACTTGCAAAATTTTTTGGTAGTCCAAATCGAATTTATACACATCAGGTTGTTACCAGGTTGGTGTTTTTTATGTTGGCCCTTAAAAATATATATGAATTTTCATTATTATTATTATTATTATTGGCTTTTCCCAGCAGTACTGGGAAAAGCCATTTTTTGTGTTCAGTTCTGATTTTTTTTTTCTTTTTTTTCTTGCATATATTTTCCCTATCTTTTTGCACTGTTTTTTGCTGGCCGTCACTTTGTTCACTTCCCATGCTTAGAATTTTTCCGTGCTTTGCCGAGGCATAGGCTATATATCAAGGATGTGCCTCCTAATATTTAGTGTCAATCTGTTTTGGGGTGTGCATGTGAGGACCAATTAAATTGATTTAAGGTCAAACAGTCTACACCGGATATTTCAAAAACCGATCAGTTGATCTGAATGAAACTTGATTAATCAAGTTGTTAGAAACATAATGTACCATACAAAGTCAATATAGTTGTAATACAGTAAACATTTTTTGTTGGTATATAATATTAATGATACTATGTTAAGACCTGTCCAGACAATCAAATTTTATTTGACAAAAACATGTGTCATGCCCAAATATGGTCTTAATGATATCACATCATGACAATTTATTGGCACATCATGACTATACAGTATATGGGCATACAATAGTTTATTATCAAATAAAATTTGACTGGACAGATTTTTATATAGCACATTATGCCAAAAAGCCCCAGTCACCAGTCATTGAATCAACACCTGGGGAACAGATGCTCATCTCCCTGGTGAGTATTCCATAATTTTGCCCCTAGTAATCCACATGCACTGACATTTGAACCTGCTACGTACCACTGAAGACAGGAGAGACAATGGATATTAGTGCCTATAGCCCTGTCCAGACTATAAAATTTTATTTAACAAAAACATGTGACATGCTTAAATATGGTCATGATGACATCACATCATGGCCATATATAGGCACATAATGACTATATATGGGCATACAACGTTTTTTAATCTTTTAAGTTATTTGAAAGGCACAAAGAGGCCCTCGTACAATAGTATTAATATTGTTGATGTTTCTATTAAATTTACTTCAATAGATGGTACCGGTGCCCAGAGCTTTTGTTTGGTGCCAGGATATACGGCACTGGTGTCGACATCTGGTCCGCTGGTTGTATCTTAGCTGAGCTTCTTTTAAGAGTGCCCTTCCTAGCAGGGGAAACAGACATTGATCAACTTAGCAAAATATTTGAAGCTCTAGGTACTCCGACTGAAGAAGATTGGCCTGTAAGTCAACATAGTGAACTTTAACACGATTAACTGCATGCGAAAAACCAAAAGCTTGTGTTCAATAAATTATACTTTGTATATTATGTTACAGCTTATTGGAATCATGTCTGTTTTTATCATCTTCATTTATCACTAGTGTGTAGGTTTCTTCATGTCAAAGATATATCATGTCAATTATAATTTCGATGTGAAGTGCATTTTGAGACAAGACTCATTCTTACTCATCCTGCTATACCTTGTAAAAAAAAATAAACATCCTGAAAAGTGACACCTTCCTTATGATTCTTGTCTTTGTTTTTTTTTCTAGGGGATGTCATTATTGCCGGACTTCATCACATTCAAATCATTTCCAGGCACTCTGCTGAAAGATATATTCACAGCAGCTGATGATGATCTACTAGACTTACTTCATCAGTTACTTAAGCTTGACCCAACACAAAGATGCACTGCCGCTGAGGTAAGACACTTGTATATTAAAATAAGTCCTGTTAGTGTTAAGTACACTGTTGTTGAAACCTCCACACATATAGAAGTACAGATGCACCTCCACAAAAATGTACACTTCTGCCTATTAAAGCTCTGTAAAGAGCATGAAATTTTATTTAACAAAAACTGTTGTATGTCCATATATGGTCATGATGTGCCTATATATGGTCATGATGTGATGAGGTGTTCTCATTAAATACCATTGAATTTTGTGTGTATTTTTTTCATTTTAAAGGCCTTACAAATGGCGTTCTTCAGCAATGAACCTGGCCCAACACCCGGCAATAGGCTGCCTAGGCCTGGCCAGCCAATAGCAGTCATTAAGGAGGAAGAAACCAGAAGAGCATCACTTAAAAGAAAAATCATAGATGAAGCAGGTAATGCATTTACATTTTTAAAAGAAGGACCCTTAAAATAATGTAGAGTTGCCCATGAAGTGGCATTTGGACACTAGGGTCAGTGGGTCAGACATTATTAAATGTATACTATATGACTAGGCCTGATTCTGTTTTGTTCATTGCCAACCATCACTTACCCCATGCATTTTGGTTAAACTCCTCGCATAACAGTGATTTTTATTTATTAATACAGGATTAATCAGTAAAAGGACAGTCATAAAATGGTAAAAGAATCATTTAAATCTGATGTTTCATTATGAAGTTACAAGAGTTTGAAAACACTATTTGAGAAATTATTCTTCAAAGTTTATGTTTTCTGATATTTGTCAAATCAAACCATCATCAAATCATTAAAGATGGGGAAAATAACATCATAGCTTGATGTATAGATATATAAAGCTTAGTGCAATAAATAGATTTTAAAAATGTTGACATTCCAACATGTTTTTGGCCATTATCTCCAAAACACAATTTGCAAGGAGTGACTGGTTTGGCTTGTCTGCATGACAATTGTAACCGCAAGACTAAAGTCTTATCAATTTTATTATTTAATTAAAGACTTAAAGTAGCCATTCAAACATTTGCTAGTAGTACCTGTAACTATGGTAAGGAGTTGCACCTCCACTGGTGGTAAACACATGTATGCTGTAAACAAGTATTTTTGGATCCTTGGTTAAAAAAACACAAGAAAAAAACAAAGACCTTTGGTTTTTTGTGTTGGTTACAATCAGGTATAATGCTAATAATGTTATATAAGAAAAAATGAAACAGGGAAGTGATAGTCAAGCTTGCCAAATCACTTGCAAATATTCTCAATAATCAGAGATTAAATGCCATTAAAGTATTCTGAAAAACAATAATGATTCATTAAAATGAAATGGCAAATAAGAAGCTCTTTTGCCATAAAAATAAATATTGATTATACCTCATATAATCCTACTTTCAAAGGAAGCTGTATAATTTTCCAAAACAAATCCCTTGTTGTAAATACATGCTACATCACTGTACGTTCAACAGGTTACGCGATGCACAAGGGACTGGAATAAATACTACAGTAATAACTTGTAATTTCAGCACAGCTTCGTAATTTTGTATCCGACAGAAAAAAAATTACCCCATGTCGAGTATTATTTGATATGGGACTTCTTATCAGTATCTCTTAAGTACTTCAGAGAAGAAATAAAAAGCTTGTTAATATTTTGTCCAGTGATAGGTTAGTTAAAGGGGAAAAATATGTTTAATAGGAAATGAGGCCACTGTAAAGAGATTAAGTTGCGATACGGTGAATAAACACCTTTGAGTGCGTTCTTAGCGATGCAGGTTATTGCCACTAGGTCCAAAGGTTATTACCTGCGACTCTCCGTTACAAAATAATTGGATTTACACTTGAGGAAATTGGTAGATTTCAGCACCTTGTGAAACAAAAAAGCGTGGCTCTTGAAATGTCTAGAATGGTAAAAAAAAAGGTGACCTTTTAATAAAATATTTTATTTGCTATTTATACATAAGAACCTGTTTAGTATCAAGCTACTGTTTTTTTGCTGGCCCAGTTATGCTTTTTAAATTAAAGCAGTTGATTATTTTCTCCTTTTGTAATGATAATTAATACTTTAAAAAAAACAAACATTTATACTCTATTTATTTGAATAAACGTCCCAAGCCTCTATTGTTCAAAAAGGTTTTTGAGAGGGAATTTATTCAAGGGAGACGTTCATGTTTTTTTTTTTTTTTGTGTAAATGGATTTGTATACTCAAAAGATTTATAGAATGTGTTGAGAATGATTTTGCTTCCATTAGATTTGTTTACAGTCATTTAGGGAGTGAAGGGTGTTTATTCCAAATGAGGCTCTAGAGGGGGTGTTTATTTGAGGGGGACGTTTATTCGAATAAAAATGTTATTTACATTATGTTCAAATAAAGAATAAAATATTTTATATCTTTTAGTCTTTCTGGGGTGTGCATGATCATAATTATATTATCTTATATTATTGTTATTGTTATAATATAACTCTAGAGGGGGTGTTTATTTGAGGGGGACGTTTATTCGAATAAAAATGTTATTTACATTATGTTCAAATAAAGAATAAAATATTTTATATCTTTTAGTCTTTCTGGGGTGTGCATGATCATAATTATATTATCTTATATTATTGTTATTGTTATAATATAACTGTGTGTGTACTGTTAAACTTAATTTGTTGGTATTAATATTCTTCTTTATCCTTGTTTTAAGGTTCGTCTGGGAATCTAGTCAAGAAGCTGGTCTTCTGAAAGTGACCTGTCAAAGGTTAGTTAAAATATTTCATAGGTCAGGATGTTGGATCTACCTGTAATGTTATTCAGGTGAAATGACCATCTGACCAGGTGGTGTTCCCATGCAAAGTTTGAGGAATACACTAAATGTACTATCAATGAGGATGAATACAGTTAGCAAATATGGAATTAATTGAATGGGATGTAATCTTTGCCTGAATATTGCATGAGTCACATGTGGTCAGCCATCATGCTAATGACATTTCTTTAGAAAGAAATCTTCCATTAACAATAATGGTATTAAAGGGTGTTGGCTACAGCAGTTGGAGAGTTTGCCGTTCGATGTTTAACATTTTAGATCATTGTTAACAAATTCAACGTTTTGAATCATCAATAACAAATTTGATCATCATTAATTGTGGAACACAACAAGTGCATTTAGGAAGTCGAGTTGGAAAAGAATATGATATTTGATTTTGCGCGATTGCCATATTTAAAGGTGCCATTACAGAATCATATTTGAAATCGCCACATGCTATATTTTGATCACAGTTTAGTGTGTAGCATGGGAGTTGGAAAATCATGTTGTACCATATTTTAAGGCAGCATTGCAACTGGTTGTTGAACATGCCATATGCTACATTTTAAAGATCCGCCGCAGCATTACAGTAGAAATAATACTTGCAGCATTGTGAAAGCAGCATTGGTAGTTGGAACATATCATGCCAAATGAAAGAAGCACCCAAAACTGCCACGTGATGTCAGAGAGGGTACATGCCACATGCCACAATTAAAAAAAAAAACTGCTCCAGCGTAATAGTGGAACATGGCTTGCCACATTTCACTTTCGACGTGATTTTGGAGATGAAGCATGCTACAAGTATAGTCCCATGACTGTTAATTCATATCGGATATTGCATTTCTCTGAACTCTTTGTCCTTGACTTTAACTCTGTTCATTATAATCAATAAATCTACATCTACCCTGTAATAGTAATCAGTGGGAAAACATAAAATCTATCAAGAAAAATGTTTTGAGATGTGATGCTAGTAGAAGATGAAAAGAGTAAAATTAGCGAGATGGGAAAAAGAAATTAGTGTTTCTTCAAACGGGCTGATGAAAGAAGAGCATTACTAAATATTATTTAAATAGCCAAAAAAAAACATTAGGCCATATAATAGTGGTCAGAGAGTCTACTACTAGACAAAATGGGGGAAATGATAGACAAGTGGCATATGGAAACATTTCTTTTATTATTTTTTTATGGTTTCATCTAGAATGAGGGTGCTATTTATGCTGCATATAATGTTGTCAATAAATTAGGATTTTTTTTTTACAGGAATTCATTTTTTATGTAATATAAATAAATCATACCAACAAAAGCCCTCTTGTGCATCTTGTTTTTAAAATAAGAATTAATACAAGACACACTGTAGTTAATATTCCCTAACTTTAGAAAATTCCCATCAGTGTAAACTTTACAACAATGGGAATGCATTTATCCTCAGCGGAGAAAGATTCAACGGGAACACACTCATTAGGCCTATTGTCAGTTGGGGAAACTTCGGAAAAGAAATATCATGACCAATTTTGTCTGGGAAATCAGACAATTTTCACAATAAAATAATTTTTTTTCAACTTTGTCATATCCTATGGTCTGGTGGCTGAGAACTAAGGCTACTAACTACATGAATAAAGTAGAAGCAAAAGAAAAAAATTCTGCTACAAGCGAAGAAACCAACACCATCACTCTGTCTTCCAGCAAACAACGGAATGGAGCTAATGACAAACTTCCCTTTTCTAAAACTGTACAAACGAACCCAGAAGAAAATATCTTCTCAATTAAGATATAAAACAGGCTTCAAGTCAGACGGATACTGTATGTCATTTAGATAAATTTTTCAACTATATTTGGTCATCTTGCAATAATAATAAATTAGGACTGTAGATTACAACAGTGGTGGCCATTTTATACATTGATGTCCGACGCTACGCCAAAGTCGTCGGATAAAAAAATAATTTTGCTGTCCATATAACTTTATTTTGGTTGTCAATCCCTAATATTGTGGAATAAAAAAAGTTGGACCATGACTAAGCCATAATAACACTCTGTGGGAACCCTACCGGAGGTTTTTATTCCGGGACTCTGACTGAGGCTCTAGTAGACCCCTTGGCTCGGACCCCCTGTTGGACACCCTGTCAGCAAATTTTTGGAACCACTGCTGGATCACAACTTAAATCATGTGATGATGAAATGGTTGACATCTATAAAAATCCATCATGTAGTTTGAATCTCATGCCAAGTTAATTTACAGAATTATTAACCACTTAAATTTCCGTCGATTTAACAGCCGTGAATCATGTCTATGTTGATGGAAGATGTATTTTGCCAGTGTCTAAGGAATAGGAATTGTGTAGAAGGAAACCATTGATTTTAAAGGACCACAAGGGAACTATATGCTCCAACGCTCACAGATTGTCTCATTAGTCACAATTCTTGCTGCTAATTTTTCTGCATGTATACAAGCTTCAAATTTAGAGCATTGTGTGGGTTTTCGTAAGACTTGTAGTTTATTGTAATGAGTGCTGTTTTGTTGCTTTCATCTATTTATAATTAATCCATCTCACTGATAAGGCCTTAAGAATGTCTGAATACCGAACAAATCTGGTTACCTAAGTTGAAGGCTTATCTCTTTCATCATATTGCCTTCAGTACTACTAGCAACTGCTCTTGCATTTACAAAGATAGTGAAATCAATTTCCTTTTATTGAATTTGAATTTACCAGCATCACAATCAATGAAATTCATTCATGTTCTTATGAATTTATATGTAATTAGTTTCACTTACCGTTTTGTTTTGAATTGGAATGATCTTAATTTAGGAGTTTTAATCAAATTTCTGCAAAATATTCATGAAAACTAGAGGATTCATAAGAATTATGAATTACTGGTGAATAAGACTGCAATGTGGTGTAGTTCATGCAATATATTTAACTCAATTATGACAATTTTTATTCCAAAAATAAGTCAAAATTACTGATTAATGTTTTGTGCACAGTCATTGAAAAAAGGGGTTTTGCATGTGGGGTAAAAAGGGTGCTATAAACCTACTGTACATTTGAGAGAGGCATGAAAGAATTAACTTTTAACAAAAAGTTTTCATACAAGAATAGTTGTGCTCAAGAAGTGTTGGTGCTTTATAGGGTTTCTAAATAATGAATGAGTTAGCATGCCTTCAGCCATGTCTTGAATGCCTGTCGTACAGTTTGTTATTGTAATCAATCCATTTATCTTGTGTATGTGAAGTTTAATTCGAAATTTCATTTTTCGTTTAGGACCTCTCTTCAAAAATGCTCATCCTGGGTTTTAATGTAATAATGTAGGCCTATTTTGTACACACTAACCCCTTGCCACCCCTGAGTCTGTGTTTATGTCGGGCCACCCTTTGGGCCTAGTTGATTCATTGTGACAACAATTCATCCGTTTTCTGGAATGATCTTATTAATGCTTTTGAAACAGAATCAAGTCCTATAATTGCTGCAAAGGACTGTTACCACACTCGTGATAAATGAACAATTGCTCCAACGAACAGTTAATAAGCATGTGACGAATGAACAGTCGTTATCATTGTATACATTTCAGTGCACGTAGCCCTTATGTATTTATTGTGAAGTCATATTAAAAGGCAATGTCGCCAATGGCTCCATCTCTGAGGTCTACATCGTGATGTATCATCGGCTGTTAAATGTTAAACCGTGTTAAGAGGAAGTCTTATGATGCATGAAAGATGGCCGCCGATCTTTAATGGATATTGAAAGATAAGTTTCATTCTCCGAAGGAATGAATGTTGACTAAAATAAACAGACACCGGCCTCCTATCATAAACATTGAAAGATGACCACCAATCTCAAATAATGAACTTTAAAAAATACCAATCTCAAATAATGAACTTTAAAAAATAGCTGTCAGTCTTAGATAATATTTATAATAATATGTCGGTATTTCTAAAGCACTCACAACTAACTCTCAGTGCTTTGCATTAGATAATTGTGACTGGCTCTGGAAAAATCAGCCCTTTGTTGGAAAAAGTAAGAGTTTTTTTGGTACATACTGTTTTTAGATTGTACAAATTTTGTTTTAACGGTATATTTGATGATAATGGGTTGAGTATAATAGCAATTATGAATATTTAATTTATTGGATATCAGCCATTTAGGTTTTGAGAAAACAGCTTTCAAAATAAATAGTGTATTATTAAGATTTGTATTTTAAATACAATTTTAAAATACTTAACATTTAATGAGTGATATTTTACAGTAAAGTTCTTCAATATACCTTCTTTTATAAAATTAAAATGCAAAAACCTGAAGTTGTTAAAAATTCTGATTCTTGAATGTTTTGGGTGCGAAATTAGAAATTGCAACAATCGGCGGTTTTACCAGAGCTGGCCACAATTGAAAAGTTACTAACATGGCTTCCAACCTCACGATATTAAACCTTTGAAGGATTTTGCAATCAGAAGTATTAGTTCACTTTCTAATGGCTGAACCCAAGCACCTTCATGGGATTATTAATACAACTTTGACTATCTAAAAAGATAATTGTATTTTCATAAGTGAAGTTTACTTTGCTCATATTTTGTAAGTGTTGGGTATGTTCAGATACTTGACCTCACCTTTGCATAACCTTTGAATAGGTCAACAAACTTGTTGTCAACACCACATACTTCAGCTACTGGGATTAGTGTTGACTGGAACATCAGAGGAAGTTTGGTCACAATACCCTGCCCACCCCACTAACTAGTTGTGTCTCTGCTTTTCTTCATGTAGAGTGGCCTCTCTATTTCGACTACAGTGTGTACTGTAACTATATTATACGACAGATAGTCATCATCCTGCCATCTTGTTTACCAGTGGCGTAACTAGGATTATTTAAATGGCGGGGAGCTTATTGGGGGAGGGGGGGGGGGGGAGGAGGAAATGGGGGGGGAGAGGGGCTTGATTAATAAATGGTGGGGTGCTACCTCACAAAATAAGGTGATATGAGGTTTTCTTTATCTACTTGGGCAGGCCCGTAGCCAGGTACTTCTAAGGGGGTACTCAAGGCGTTGGGTCCAGTGCCAAAGCCCCTGTGGGGTCAGCGAAACCCCCTTGGCCGGAGGATTTTTGTGTTTTATGTGCATCTAAACAATTCTATAAAAGCAGATACATGTATGTTTGAAAAAGGTTTGAGTGGGTCTGCAGTGCATTAGCTGGGTTGGAGGATTCGTTCGGGGAGGGGTGGATTTCACCAGAAAAGAGGTGGGTTTTGCATTCTCAGTGAGGGGGTGGGGGCAACAGAAAGGTGACTTTTCCTAGATACGCCACTGTTTTTCACATGCTCATCGCTGAATTCGGAAGATTTTACCTTTTTCTTTACATAAAACTTTGTGTTTATTTATTACAAATTTGACACAAGATACTAGTAACATTGCCGAGGAGTGTGTCCAGAGTATAACATAGGCTTAAAGTCCAACACATTAAGTAAATATCTGTAAACCCCTTGTCAATAAATTAATAAAGTATAGTGTTTATATAAAGTAGTATACAAAAAAAAACCCATATTAAAAAGTTAATTCACCATTCATTAGCTCAATGAAATAATTAAGAAGCATAGTTTTTTTTTTTTTTCTGTTCATTTTTGGGAACAGATATCAAGGGTTCCAGTGTTTGCCATCATGTTTTTCCTGCTTAAATAAAGAGTGTAGGAAGGGTATCCACCCACGTCTTTCCTCCCACATGCTCAGTCACTGTATGTCCTGTCTTAAAGAATATATGGGGGAATTGTATATTAGTATAATAAAATGTCAACTTGATGAAATTGTCAAGCTGCCTTGGAAATGGCTGTCATATATATCATAACGTGATATAGTGAAGTTTTTATTCCTTGATGGAAAAATATGAAAAATGACATTTAATGTTAAACATAAGTAACATTGACTTGTATGTATTAGTTTGCTGGATATTTTGATTATAAATTGTAACGATGTGTTGTAAATTAAGTGTTATAGGTTGTTATTGAAATATTGGAACAACTTTTGACCACTTAAAATTTCATTGGCTTTTTATATGTACTGCTTTGACATGCTGCTGATCCAGCCAAAGCCTTGCTCTTGTGCGATTTAACTGCCATTTTGCAGGTGTGAAGTTATGCAAACGTTTCTCAGTGATAGGCTAGTTAGATCTTCAGATTTCTTACAACTCTGTAGATTGCACACCATTCATGTGGCAGTGTGCAATGGCAATTCCAGCTGTAATTGCTGAATCTGTCTGTCCTTATCAAACTCATCCCACTCAACGTTTCTTCCGTCACATTTATCTTACCGTATATCAAATAGTCGGC